GAATCACTGTGGCATGAATGCTGACTCAGCGTTTGCACAGTAAAGAGGAACAGGATCACTGCGGCATGAACACCGGCTTGTAGAGCATATGAACCCTAAAGGCTCCAGTACACTGCAGCGTACGCGTGTACTGTACGCAGAGGGTTCAGACGTGATACTCCAGCGTTCTCCCCGAGCAGCTGCAGAGCAGCTCTGCAGACGAGGGGCGTTTACCTTCGGGACAAATTGAGGTCGCCGATTGGTCATTTTCTGACACGCCTACTGGATTGATTGACAGGTTGGAAAAAAGATAAAAAAGCGAGCGCTGGCAGCCTCAGTCACAGCGGTGTTCTGTGTTTATATGTTGTTAATAAAAATATCTAAATAATTTTAAAAAGGAGAGCGCTGGCCCTGCAGCCCACACATCAGACCAGCACACCAGGAACTCTCCAGACCCGCAGCCACGCTGGACCTGAGTTTAATTGGCTCGTGACAAATTCCTCCATTTCTCACCATTTCAGTCATGACATCAACGGAGGAGGAAGAGATCACTGCCTCTTGGCAACAAACTAAAGAAAAGACCAGATCAGAGATGAAGAAGAAGAATTTAATACATTGGTGTCGCAAACAAAACAGTCCGTCGCTGGGCAGTTTATTGTGCGACACCGCGTACACGTATGCGGTTGTAAAAATGTGAGCTTTGCACAGAAGGTACGCACGTACGTACACAGAGGTACGCACGTGCGCATGCAGAGGTACGTACCTCTGCGTACGTACCTCTGCGTACGTGCGTACCTCTGCGTGCGCACGTGCGTACCTCTGCGTATGGATGTACGCGACAGTATACTGGAGCCTTAACTCTTGGTCTGAACTCCTCAGGTGGTGAAGCTGAAGGACGTCTTCTCTCACGGAACGGGCTTCGTCCTCGTCTTTGACTTCATGCTGTCTGACCTCTCTGAGGTCATCAGGAACCACCGGCGACCTTTGACCCCAGCTCAGGTGAAAGGGTACATGATGATGCTGCTGAAGGGCGTGGCCTTCCTGCATCACAACAACATCATGCACCGGGTGAGTCCGAGACAGAAATACTGATCAGAACCTCTGAAGTCCTGCAGGGACTCAGAACCTCCTCTGTGATCATCTAAGCCAGGAGTCTGCAACCTTTAGGTGTTTCCACGGAGACGCACCACTCCGTTCATGTGAACTTTGATTCTTGTGTGTGTGTGTGTATGTGTGTGTGTGTGTGTGTGTGTGTGTAGGACCTGAAACCAGCAAACCTCCTCATCAGCTCCTCGGGTCACCTGAAGATCGCAGACTTCGGTCTGGCCCGGCTGTTCAGCGATCAGGGCGAGAGGCTGTACAGCCACCAGGTAGCCACCAGGTGAGCCAAAGCTCCGCCCCTTTTATCCTGTGATGCAGACAAATGTTGGAGTCACATAAATACTGAACGGTCCATGAGCTGCTTTGTTTTGTGAATAAAATTAAAATTGAATAAAACCATTTTTTGGCTTTAAGTAATAAAAACTATCATCATTTTTTTCAGCCAATGACCAATAGAACATTTTTCATACGTTCACCCTGATTGTAGTACTCCAGTAAAACAAGGTGACCCTTGCTGTGCCTTCAGGTGGTACCGAGCTCCCGAGCTGCTGTACGGAGCCCGAAGGTACGACGAGGGAGTCGACCTGTGGTACAAAAACACAAAACCACAACACTGCACGGCTCACCGTGTGCTTATTGTTGTTTACACGAGATTTGAGACTTGTTGTTGTTGTTGTTGTTGTTTGGGTGTAACAAGGTGGAGTCAGTCCTCTCGACAGAGCGGACTGTTTGGCTCCGCCCTGTCAGGTGATGATACCTGGTGCAGGTGGATGTCCGCCTTCCTCAGGACGTGCTGTCTCTGTTTCAGGGCTGTGGGGTGTGTTTTCGGAGAGCTGCTGAACTCGTCTCCTCTGTTTCCTGGAGAAAACGACATCGAGCAGCTCTGCTGCGTCCTCCGAGTGCTGGGAACGCCGACGCAGGACAGCTGGCCTGTAAGACGCAAACCGAGTGTAGCACGTCCCGACGCTGCTCAATAATCCAGGTCCACAGGACCTGACTTAACTTTGACATGAATGTAACACGTTTAATGTTCTGAGGAGGTCTTCAGACCAGACCTGCTCCAAGCTGCTCACCTAAACATGATGGAAACCCAGAAAACTGAACTTCATGAAGATCCTGTTGGGCAGAATCTTTGGTGTCTGGGTCAGAGCCGGGAGGCCACAGGTCCATGAGGTGAAACTCAGACCTCCTTATCCCCAAAAAGCCTCTCCAACTCCTCCTGAGAGATCCAGATGTCCTCCCAGAGCTGGAGGATATAACCCCCCCCCCCAAGAAGGTTGTGGGTCGGGTCAGGGGTTCCCCAGGTGAGACAAGTCAGCAGGTTGAATCAAAAGAACCTGGAGATCTTTGAAGAATCACAGAAGTCCAGGTGCATCTGAGTCAGGCATCAGGGATCACCTTGTCCCAAATGACTCGGAGGTTTGAACCTGTGTGTGCGGGGTGGGAGGTCTACAGCAGGAGGTCCAGTGAGGTTCCAGAAAAGTACTGGAGTGTCCAGATAAGGTGTCTGGATTTTGTTGGCATTCTGGAGGAGGTCTTGGGGTTTTAATGTTGTTCTAACAGTTTTAATTTTATGATACTGGATCAGAACCTGACAGCAGAAGGTTCTGCACTTAAAAATAGAAAACCACTAGGAACCAGAACTCATCCTTGAGGTCCGCCGTCCTGGATTTGACTTCATGGAGCTCGGACGATCCTTCTGGTTCATTTTATTTGAATCTTAAAGTAAAACCGTAAATGTGGACTAAGAGAATAAAGACTGGAGACATGAGGACAAGGGTTGTCTCTGGGGTGTTGGACAGCTCTGTGAAGATGTCCTCTCTGTCTGCAGGAGATCGTGGAGCTGCCGGACTACAATAAAATCACCTTTAAGGAGAATCCAGCCATCCCATTGGAGGAGATCGTCCCCGACACGTCCCCTCAGGCCCTCGACCTGCTCTACCAGTTCCTGGTGTACCGGTCCAAACAGCGCTGCTCTGCCCGGCAGGTAGGACACAGGAAGTGGACCCAGTTCTGAAGGACTGGACTCATCTGATTCTGTTTCAAGGATTTTACTGACTTGGGTTCTGATGACCCCTGCTGGACTCAGAGGTCAGGCCTATTAAATCCGGTCTGGACCGAGCCGTAGTTTTTTATTCCTGAGCTCTGGATCCAACGGATTAACGTAATTAGAGGACCGAACCCAAAACACAACTTTTCTTATAATTAACTTTTAGTGCTTTTGAAAGCAAATCAGTTTGACACGATAGTTTTAAAAACGTCAAGAAAAGAAGATATCAGAGTTATTTTTATTAACAAGTCACCAAATGGTCACCAATATTATATATAATATAACACCAAGTCACCAAATGGATATTAACCAACAAAACTAATGGCCTAAAAAATCATCTCTAAAGATCGGCACGTACACAGATGAACAAAAATATTTTTCAGAGTGAAATTATTTGGAAAAATACAGAACAAGGTTATTTAAATTTAGATGTAAAAGAAAGTTGTGGAAAATTAAGCTGAGTCATGCTGTCGCTGATGACGGAGCGATTTAACCTGCACTAAAGTCCAGAGTAAAACTGGTGTGCATGAAAATAAACTGACGGTTTACATTCTACAACAATACTAATGATAATACTTTCATAAAGTATCTATAACAAGTAACAGACGGAGGGTAAAGATGATGGATGGAAGAAAAACGGTAGTTGGAAACGAATATTGCACAAACTTGAATGGCAACAATAACACGAGTGATAAAGAACAATAACATTGATCAAAAATATATTGATAAGAATTTTTGAGACATGAACAAAATAAAAATGAAACATGTACAGCTGCTCAGTTTGGTCGTCATGTGATCAGCCACAGCCTCGTTCCTTCAGCTGTGAACCTGCGAATTAATCTGGATTAGACCCAAGTGACATAAATACTAAATGAGGAATATATTTAAAATCTGTCAACAAGTTGTTGTTCTGCTTACCTGTTTGTCAAGAACAACACGGTGTCCACTGCAGCAGCTGTGAGAGCAGGCCTGCTCTGTGCAGCTAGCAGCGCTCAAAACTTGCTGCTGCTCATGCTGCTGCTGCTTCTCATGCTGCTCATGCTGCTGCTCATGCTGCTGCTGCTGCTTTTCATGCTGCTGCTTCTCATGCTGCTGCTGCTGCTGCTGCTCATGCTGCTTCTCATGCTGCTGCTGCTTCTCATGCTGCTGCTCATGCTGCTGCTGCTGCTTCTCATGCTGCTTCTCATGCTGCTGCTTCTCATGCTGCTGCTGCTGCTCATGCTGCTGCGCACTGCGCCGCCAGCGCTGCTCTCTTGTCTGATTAACTTCTGCACTCTGTTTTATTTCCATCCTCAACATATAAACGTGCCGCCGCCTCCTGGACATTTACACAACTTCATATCGTGCGTTTCTTATTTAGTTTAATTTGTGCTGTTTGAGTCGTGACGCTGCATCAAAGCCCGAGACCGACCCGGCCCGCACGTTCATCACATTAATATGGACCGGTCCTAATCCGGACCGGTTCGGGTTGTGGTTAGAAATGACCGCTGTAACCACCATGACGCCCTGAGTCCAGCAGGGCCTGGTCGTACCTGCAGGGACGTGTTTGCTCTGAGGACGGTCTCTCATTCTGGGACATGAAGACAAAATGCTTCAAATGTTCATGGTTGAAAATAAAAGTCTTCTGCTCTCTTCCAGGCTCTTCTTCATCCGTTCTTCTTCTGCTCTCCTCTTCCTGCTCATCACTCGGAGCTGCCCGTCCCTTACAGGGGGGGCCGACCGCCCCGCCAGCGCCTCCAGGCTCCGCCCACCGACTTCTCCGTGGACCTGCCCCTGCAGAACAGCGTGGTAGACCCCTTGCTGCTACGGCCCCACGCCTGCTGCCTCTGAACAGGTTTTACCTTCAGGAGTTCTGACAGGACGGAACCAGAACAGTTTTTACTGGACCCAAGTCTGTCAGAACATGTGAGCAGCGCCACGGCTGGTTTGGACCGGGTCTGACAGATTTCACACAGAACTCCTTTAGATTTGGTTCTGGAAGGTTTTAGTTGGTTTGTCTGGTTTTTCTGGTTCTCAGGTCCAGTTGAGCCCGTTTCCTGTCGGCTGCTGCTGTAAAACGCTTTCCTGTCAGAACCTTTTGATTAATGAATCTCATCAGAACCAACGTGTTGGCTCGTTTGTCTTCAACTGGGTTCTGGACCAAAGGTCAGAGGGAGAAAATCAGGACCTTAGGGGACATCCAGGACCCATTGGTTGGTGACCGGGTCATGGTTCTGGTCCTGTACAGCTGCAGTCAGGAGTTTCCAGGAACATCAGATTATTTTTAATCTTAATGATTCAAATATTTTAATACTCTTAAAGATGGACTTCACCCTGGATTTTCTCTGATCCACCAGACTGAGTGGAAGGTCCTGAAGAACTCATCATGAAGCTCCTGGACCTGCATCGACACCAGAGGTCCCTGTGGCGAGTCCAGACCCGTTCCAGGGTGGAGAGGATGGAAACCAGTCTCTGCTCTGTTTGGTAGAACAGAAAGAATCACAAACACAAAAGATGCAAACATGAGGACGAGCAGGTCAGCGCCGTGACCTTTGACCTGCTGGGCGGCACTGTGACATTTGACCTCGGGTCAGCACCTTGACCTTTGACCTGAGGTCAGTGCCATGACATTTGATCTCGAGTCAGCACCTTGACCTTTGGCCCCAGATCAACACTGTGACCTTTGACCCCAGGTCAATGCTGTAACCTTTTACCGGCCATGACCTCTGACCTTTTGTGAGCTTTGACCCGCAGGTCTGCGACTCCTTCCTCCCTCAGAGAACCAGATGTTGTTTTAACAGTTCAGGCTCTTCATGATGAAGGTCCAGTCATCATCCATCATGGCGGTGATGATGTCACAGCTTTCTTCTTGGTGCTGGACTTTAAATTGTCTTCATGGATCAAACCAGAACTCTTCAAATGAGACGTCCAGCAGACAGGAAGTTGTTTCAGATTTCAAAATAAAAGTTTGTGTGAGGAGTCAGGTTTGGAAACGTCCAGAAGTTCATCCTGAAACAAACAAACAGTTTTAGTTTCACGTTTTTGTGTTTTAACTTTTTCTTTTTCACTTTATTTTAGTAATTTGATTATTTCAGTTTTACCTTTTTAAACCTGCTAGCACCTCATCAGAGTCCTCCTCCTCCTCCTGGTGACCCTCCTCCTCCTGGTGACCCTCCTCCTCCTCCTCCTCCTCCTCCTCCTGGT